AAGAAACCGTAAAACAAGAAGCGTATGGATTTTCGTTCAACGCATAGAGATATAAGGCAACGTGTAACAACCTTGGGACAAGAATTCGCGAAGAAACAGCATTGGCAAACGAACGAGAATGCGAATATCGGAATTCTGTCTGAAAGAGACGTTCTCTCGACGAACTTGTTGCGCGAGATAGTTTCGTGGTTTTCAAGGTAGGTAGTCGAAAGACTCCACCTGACCCGAAACAGAGTCAAACGTTTATTGAAATTTATATTTTTACAAGGATACGCGGGTTTCGCCTGTGCTGCAGTTTTTCGCTGAGCGTATATACTTATTACCGTAGCCGTCTGTGTATTGTTTATTATGTAATTTATTACGTGTACCTAATTGTAACATAATTACTCTAACAGAGGCGAAATGAAATGAAATGTCGTAATCGACGGTGTGCAAGTATGACGAATCATACTGGAATCGTTGTCACGCATCGTGTCGTAATAAACGAAACGGTATTTATTGATGATCGATACGACGATAGGCGGCATCGGTCATGCGTATTTGTAATACTTCCACGAGTTATTATCGTTATTGTTGCTATTATTTAAACCGTATATACATATATTCGCATATTATATTTTGAGCATGCACCAGACGAGGTCTGCTTTCGAGCCTGGAGTCGTTCGTACGAGAACGGGAGTCGCGAGATCTTCCATCGTAATCGAGGAAACATAATCGAGAAGAGAGTTGCGGATAACTTCGGCAGCCCTAGAACGACGATTGTAATCAAATCAGTGGTTTCTTCTTCGAGACTTTCGACGTGACGCGTTTTGATCTTACGTACATCTAGACCTTTCTTCTGTGATTGTTCGATCAAAATGAAAAATCCTGAAATGGACCCCTGTCGGGAAATTTAGTTTCCCCATTGGGAAAGACGAAGGATCGTTCGACGTGAGAAAATCACGAAATATTGGACAATTTTAATTTCGTTCTCTTTACCTTGTCCCCGTGATATCTGATAAGATATCTCTTATCGTGGTCGCAGCCTCAGATAGATGAATCAACTTCGAGTACTATTGCCTCGTTTACGTCGTTCGATTACTTCGGCAAAGAAACGTTGATCGAAGAAGTTCTTTTCGTCTTCTTCTGTTTTGTGATTTTCTCAAGATGGACCAGATTGTGTCAAGTATCGAGGCCAACTATAAAATCCTGGTAAATGTTATTTTCCAGTGGTACGCGTAAGAGACCAATATGACCTCGTGATTCAAAATGCATTGTTCATATCATATAGCGTGTTGCGAGTATTTTGCATTGGAGACCACGGAAGGAAGCACTGATCGCGACAAGATGACAAGCTGGATTCTTACTTGGCGAGGAAACGCGTTATCGTACCCTTAGCGATGTGTAGAGTTAAGCTACCTTAATCATTTACTAAAGAGTGATCTATATAGTTTATCCGTATTCACCGAGTATATCCGTAAAAAGAAAAAA